CATCCAGTCAAACTCAATCCACCACATATGAACCCTCCAGCTCACCTGAAACAAGCACAGAAGACATTTTCAGTCCAACTGCACTGACCACATATGAACCCTCCAGCTCACCTGAAACAAGCACAGAAGAAATGTCCAGTCCAACTGCATTGAGCACATATGAACCCTCCAGCTCACCTGAAACAAGCACAGAAGAAACATCCAGTCAAACTCAATCCACCACATATGAACCCTCCAGCTCACCTGAAACAAGCACAGAAGAAATTTCCAGTCCAACTGCACTGACCACATATGAACCCTCCAGCTCTCCTGAAACCAGCACAGAAGAAACATCCAGTCCAACTCAATCCACCACATATGAACCATCCAGCTCACCTGAAACAAGCACAGAAGAAATGTCCAGTCCAACTGCACTGACCACATATGAAACCTCCAGCTCACCTGAAACAAGCTCAGAAGAAACATCCAGTCCAACTCAATCCACCACATATGAACCCTCCAGCTCACCTGAAACAAGCACAGAAGAAATTTCCAGTTCAACTCCACTGAGCACATATGAACCCTCCAGCTCACCTGAAACAAGCTCAGAAGAAACATCCAGTCCAACTCAATCCACCACTTATGAACCCTCCAGCTCACCTGAAACAAGCACAGAAGAAATTTCCAGTTCAACTCCACTGAGCACATATGAACCCTCCAGCTCACCTGAAACCAGCACAGAAGAAACATCCAGTCCAAATCAATCCACCACATATGAACCATCCAGCTCACCTGAAACAAGCACAGAAGAAATTTCCAGTCCAACTGCACTGACCACATATGAACCCTCCAGCTCTCCTGAAACCAGCACAGAAGAAACATCCAGTCCAACTCAATCCACCACATATGAACCATCCAGCTCACCTGAAACAAGCACAGAAGAAATTTTCAGTCCAACTGCACTGACCACATATGAACCCTCCAGCTCACCTGAAACAAGCACAGAAGAAATGTCCAGTCCAACTGCATTGAGCACATATGAACCCTCCAGTTCACCTGAAACAACAAAAGACAAAGCATCAGATCCAACTGATTCGACCACATATGAACCCTCTAGCTCACCTGAAACAAGCACAGACGAAACGATCAGCCCAACTGAAACAACTGTGTATGAATCCTCCATTTCACCTGAAGCAACCACAAAAGAAACATCAGGTCCAACTGAATCAACTACATATGCACCCTCCAACTCACCCGAAACAAGCACAGAAGAAATATCCAGTCCAACTCAATCCACCACATATGAACCCTCCAGCTCCCCTGAAACAAGCACAGAAGAAATTTCCAGTCCAACTGCACTGAGCACATATGAACCCTCCAGCTCACCTGAAACAAGCACAGAAGAAATTTCCAGTCCAACTGCACTGAGCACATATGAACCCTCCAACTCACCTGAAACAAGCACAAAAGAAACATCTGGTCTATCTGAATCAACCACATATGAACCCTCTAGTTCACCTGAAACAACAAAAGATGAAACAGCGGGTCCATCTGAATCAACCACATATGAACCCACCAGTTCACCTGCAACAAGCACAGAAGAAACATCCAGTCCAACTGAATCAACCACATATGAACCCTCCAGCTCACCTGATGCACCTCCAGCTCACCTGAAACAACAAAAGATGAAACAGCGGGTCCATCTGAATCAACCACATATGAACCCACCAGTTCACCTGCAACAAGCACAGAAGAAACATCCAGTCCAACTGAATCAACCACATATGAACCCTCCAGCTCACCTGATGCAAGCACAGAAGAAACATCCAGTCGCACTGAATCCACCACATATGAATCATCTAGTTCACCTGAAACCACACAAGATAAAACATCAGGTCCATCTGAATCAACCACATATGAACCCACCAGTTCACCTGCAACAAGCACAGAAGAAACATCCAGTCCAACTGAATCAACCACATATGAACCCTCCATTTCACCTGAAGCAACCACAAATGAAACATTAGGTTCACCTGAATCTACCACATATGAACCCACCAGTTCACCTGCAACAAGCACAGAAGAAACATCCAGTCCAACTGAATCAACCACATATGAACCCTCCAGCTCACCTGATGCAAGCACAGAAGAAACATCCAGTCGCACTGAATCCACCACATATGAATCATCTAGTTCACCTGAAACCACACAAGATAAAACATCAGGTCCATCTGAATCAACCACATATGAACCCACCAGTTCACCTGCAACAAGCACAGAAGAAACATCCAGTCCAACTGAATCAACCACATATGAACCCTCCAGCTCACCTGATGCAAGCACAGAAGAAACATCCAGTCGCACTGAATCCACCACATATGAATCATCTAGTTCACCTGAAACCACACAAGATAAAACATCAGGTCCAACTGAATCAACCACATATGAACCCACCAGTACACCCAAAACAAGCACAGAAGAAACATCCAGTACTACTGAATTAACCACATATGAAACCCCCAGCTCACCTGAAACAAGCACAGAAGAAACATCTGGTCCATCTGAAGCAACCACATATGAACCCTCTAGTTCACCTGAAACAACAAAAGATGAGACATCAGGTCCAACTGAATCAACCACATATGAACTCACTAGTTCACCTTCAACAAGCACAAAAGAAACACCCAGTCCAACTGAATCCACCACGTATGAAACCTCCAGTTCACCTGAAGCAACCACAGCAGAAATGTCGGCTCCAACTGAATCAACCACATATGAACCTTCCAGCTTACCTGAAGCAAGCACAGTAGAAATGTCCAGTCACACTGAATCAACCACAAATGAACCTTCCAGCTTACCTAGAGCAACGACAGAAAAAACAACCACAACAAGGCTAACAAACACAATTCCAACTGGACCACATATGTCAACAGATCCACTAACTGTATCATCATTAAGCCCAACAGCATTCACTACAGTTTCAAGTTCCGCCGTTTCATATCCTAATACAGCCTCTAATGTTTCTACAACATTGTTGCCAGGAACTTCCTCTAAACCAGGTGAGAATTTGTTGTTTATCGATTACTACTTTTAATATTTTTAATCACGTGTGACTTTAAGTAGAACATTTCTGATCCAATCATATGAAGATAGCATATATTAAGTAAACTACTAGTCTATTGGGACAACTTCTTTATTTTTCTCTTATACTGACAAAACATCCATTATATAAAACATCTATTATATGAACCACCAAAACCGTTTAGCAATCCCCTCTACATTATTTTTGTGATATTTTTCTCAATTAAACTTAAATTGGGGTGGGGGGGAGGGGGTTGAAGCATAGATAAGATGATGTGGTCTGGGTGTCTATAGTGCCCCTTTAAACATGCTTCCCTTTAGTAGAAAGGTCTCTTATCCCACATGTTTTAAATCATGTTTTCACTTATGCTTTTGCTCACCTCACATTGTTACTTATAGTCTTTTATGTCTTGAATTAGGTCTTCAGTGTCAAAATGGAGGTTATTATGATGGCATAAAGTGTGTTTGTGGACCTAACTTCTATGGACTTCTATGCGAATTCATCCTAAATGAGATCAGACCAAGTAAGTTTACTGTGGATGTGTTATTTACAAAATACAAGAGAAAAAACCCCAAAACATTTGAAATTGGTGGGGGCTAAGGAGATGCTTATAAGTTCATCTTTATTATTTACGTACATAAGTTTGTAACTAGATTGTAATGTGGAGTCCACATTTTGTAGATCTGATATCAGAATAGGAAAATGTATATAGTTGCACAGTGCACTTTTATACTGCACGTATGCATTCATCATTTGCACTTATTGTGTATGTAGTAAAGTTTCACAGCCTTTAAAGGCCTAGCACATCTATTTTTTATTATATGTGTATTTATGGGCTATTACATTTTATAGGAGCAGCTTGTCACTTTGATATATAATACTTTATAAAATATCTTTTGTAATTTGCACTATTCGAATTTTATTAGCGCCTCTTGTACTTGGCTTTGTTTTTAATTATCACAATAGGAATCCTTTCATTCTTTTTACTTCAGTGTTTAATTAGATGCAAACCATACAGTTCATAAAACTCCCTGTTCCTATACTATTCCTGCACACCTGATCCAAAGCAGAACTCACACTTGGTATATAGTTAGTAATCATAAACTGAGACTTGTATCATGTTTTGTATTCAAATCGTGTGACTAAAGCAATTAAAGGCTTTTTCGTATCTGTGCTTATTTGTTGTTTGTTTTGTTTTTACTGATCAATCTTTTCTGTTCATGAAATTGTAGATAAACTCATAACTGCAGTAAATGTCACAGTGAAAGTGTGGAATGAGAATTATGTGCCGGATCTGGGGAATAAAGTATCCACAGCATATCTTACATTTGAACAAAGGTTTAAAGAACAGGTATGTATGGATAAGAGCCTGTTCTTGTTTATTAACTCAGGGCTCATGCCCTGCTCTTTCAGCCCTATAGATTCATATATTTTTCTACTGCCTCCCCTCTCCTTCATTGTATCTAGTATGGTAAAGAACCACATTACTCACATGCTGCACTCATTAGTTGTGTAGAGCCATTTTTCTCATACCAGTTCTCTAGAGCTACCTGCGGTCTATGATATAGTCATTACCCAGATTATTGAAATAGGGATATTAATAACCCTAGACAATTATTGGTCCTTGAGGACTGGTTCTCTGATTGTCTGTTACCATCAAATACAGAATATCTACCACATCAATATGGAAATGGTGGGAGTATACCAATAACATTTATGAGTAGAGGTCTTTGGAATGTCGAAGTCAGAGCATCAACTCTGAAATTGCACTTATGATACAATATACTACTTTGGGTCATACACATCACCTCAGTCCTAAGTAATGGTTGAAACATTTTAATAATTTCTCCTTTTTACCCCACTGTGCAGATGGACCTTGTGTACACAAAGGCGGAATTTCCCAACTACTTGGGTGTTGAGATAATCTCTCTCAGGTGAGATCCAGATTAAATAAACACATTTATAAGATAGGTTTTTGATTACAGTGACTAGAAATAAGATTCATGAGTGATACTCTAGATTTATAAGAAATACCAGAAGTTGGAAAAGCGATATGAACATGATCTCCATCCAAAGTTGGATCTCCATCCAAAGTTGCTTGTTTCTAGAGCTTCCAGAGAGAGCTATATAATAGTGGCTCACGTCACAAATTAGTGAGATGATATATGTTGGTCTTTGCTGCCAATCCGTCAGAATATCAAGAATGTCAAAAGCTTAAGGTAAATAGAGGTGCAAAAGGGATTAGATAAAAAGAATAATTTTCATTCTTAAAATAAAATATGAATACTTGAATAAAGGGATAGAAACATCCCGACACCAAAAACTCTTCAGATTAAAAAAAATATATATATTTAGGTGATTTGCATTGATTAATAATAATACACCCAAGATCAAGCTCTTTAATTACACATTCAGTGGAATTCATATTAAACTTTGGAATGTCATGAATGTGGACTAGCCTAGTATCAGTGGTGATGGGTAGAACAACAGCAAGTGAAAAATAAAAAGAGATTTAGTAATTCCAGGCTAGCTGTCATAATGGCAACAAGTAAGTTAAGGTAATTCGGAATAACAAAATGCATTTCTTCTCTTCAACAGCCAAGGAAGTATCATTGTCGAGCACTTGGTCTTACTGGATGTCTATGCAGAGGAATATGACATTATTGCTGATAACATTGAGATAGTCTTAAACAACACAAATTGTACAAACTATGTGAATAACGGTAAGTTGTCAAAGCTTCTAAACAAATATGTAGTAGAATATTTTATTAAAATACAAATGTAATCATCTACACGGATACACCTGCATCTAAATGTAAATTATATTTGAATGTTATGATTAAGATTTTCTGCTTCATCTTCACAAAAAAATCAACTCAAATCAATAACACTCTACAGTTTAAAACTGACTTTATAGTAACACATGGTGACAATGCTGGACCTACATCTGCAACTGATTTTTTTTAAAATGTATTTTTTTATTACAGATCTCCTGTGCTTTACTCCAAACAACACACAAGTTACAAGGCAAAACCTAGATATACCAGGTAAGATACCTCATGTCATGTACTGAGAGCCACGGATGAGTTTAGGGGATTTAGTGAGCAGTTCATCCATATGTTTACTATATGTTTGGGATGAATGTATTGGCATTTTGGGAATTAAGTATTACACATGGGCAGCTTCCTTGCTGGATTAGTTGCTGGGTATCTTTTTTGTTCCCTCACTTCACTAATAATTATGCCTCACAACGTTATTTTATAAGCAAACTGCAACACTAAAAGTGCCAGTATCAGTGCTAAATTCGTATAATGTTATAATAAGCTTCCCTATACTTGAATGCAATGTCAGTTGCAGTTTTGTATATATGTCTGTATACATTAGAACTCTTTATTTTAATGTGTTTGTTAGTAGTTGACGAGAGGCCACATCTTGTTGTGAGTCATTTCTATGGCAAAGTAATAGTGAGTCGGGGCTGGAAAACCCTAGTGTGCTTTTGTCTGATCATGATGCTGTGAAAAAAATGGGGGGCAATAATTGCTTACACCATATCACCCTGCTAAATTCTCTGTCACCTTAACATCATGAATATTTGATATTATTATTATTATTCTTTATTGAATGCAAATACAGTAGGAGTTGAGATCCCTATTCCCATGAGCACTTACATTCAAGATGGATAGGAGGGGTATGAAAGAAGATATGGTGAGAATTATGTTAATACAGAGTGAGATGAGGGCATTTATTGGTTCAGTGGACTGCGTTAGTTTGTTCATGGCTTCCCTGAATAAAAACTTAATTAGAGATCATTTAAAGGATCACTATAGGGTCAGGAACACAAACATGTATTCCTGACCCTATAGTGTTAACACTACCATCTAGCCCCCCTGGGCCCCTCATGCCTCCATAAATACAGCAAAATCTTACTGTATTCAAGCCAGAAGCTGTAACTCTGCATGCTGTTTGACTCAGAAAAAAAAATAAAAAACAGTCTGCTGACACCATCAGCAGTGGTGGCCTGAGCAAATCACAATGCTTCCCCATAGGATTGGCTAAGACTGGCAAAGAGGCATATCAGGGGCAGAGCCAGCACAATTCAAACACAGCCCTGGTCAATCAGCATATCCCCATACAGATAAATTGAATCAATGAATCTCTATGAGGAAAGTTCAGTGTTTGCATGCAGAGGGAGGAGATACGGAATGTTTGGATGCATTTTAGGCAGCCATGACCCAGGAACAGGGCTGCCATCAGAAATTTTGGGGCCCCTGACAGAGCTCAAGGTCTGGGCCCACCGGTGCCTGCACCCGAGTCCGTCCGTCCGTCCCCGTCCCCCCCTCCTGAGTCCGCCCACAGGGATGCAGTGTCTGCAGGGCCGGTGCAAGGATTTTTGCCGCCCTAGGCAAAAGTAAAGTTTGCCGCCCCCCATGTGACATCACAATGACCCACCCATATGATCTGCCATGTTAACTAACACAGTGCTGCCGTGTTTACAATAAAAAGCCTGCAGGGACAGGCTATAGACACCAGAACCACTACATTAAGCTGCAGTGGTTCTGGGGACTATAGTGTGGCTCCACTGGTCTGGTGTAGAACAGGCTCTCTGGAGGCGGTTTGTAACTGTGGTCACAAAAATCAATGTTCTGGGAGAACGGGAAGCAGCTCCATTTTTTTGAGGGCCCTTTACACAGCTCAAGGTCTGGGTCCCAGGGTCCACCTTCATGTTCCACCAATGAGTTTGTTCACAGGGGTGTGTGTGTGTGGGGGGGGGATGTCCTGATGTGTGTAAGGAATGCATTGTGTGAATCTGTGTTTGTATGTGTAAGAGCTGCAAGGTGAGTTTGTGTGTGTATGGGATGCATTGTGTGTTGCTGTGTGTAAGGGATGCATTGCTTGTGTATGTGTGTCTGTGTGTAATGCATTGTGTGTTTTTCTGTGTGCAAGGGGTGCATGTGTGTGTGTGTGTGATGGATGTCAATCTCTCCCCCTACCCCCGTCAATTTCTTCCCCCTCCTCCAATTTCCTCTTCTCCCCCCTCTCATTGCCTTCTCCCCCTCCTCTCATTTCCTTCTTCTCCCCCTCCCTCTCATTTCCTTCCTTCTCCCCCCTCCCTCAAATTTCCTTTCCCTCAAATTTCCTTCCTCTCCCCCCCCTCAAATTTCCTTCCTCTCCCCCTCCCTCAAATTCTCCCTTCTCCCTCCCCTCCCTCAAATTTCCTTCCTCCCCCCCCTCAAATTTCCTCCCTTACTCTCCCCTGTGTTTCCTCTTCAGCTCCCTCGCGCGCTGCGTACTGATGCCGGAGCCGGAAGATGACGTCATCTTCCGGCTCCGGCATCAGTACGGTGCGCGAGGGAGCTGAAGAGGAAACACACAGAGAGTGCTCCCTCGCGCGCCGGGCCGCCCGCCGGGTGTCAGCAGGGCCAGCCTCTGGGGGGCCCTGAGGTGACCGGCTGCTGGGCCCCCCAGGAGAAGAGGCTGGCCCTGTGGGTACATACCGGGGTCGCAGGACCCCCTGCGACCCGGTATGTACCCACTGAATGTGGGGACGGACGGGCCCCCCAGGACCGCCGGGCCCATGACAACCGTTGCGGTTGTCATGCCCTGATGGCGGCCCTGCCCAGGAAGGATCTCTAATAGCTATCTGAGGACTGGCCAGTGAAGTTATCACTAGGCTGTAATGTAAACACTGCATTTTCTCTGAAAAGACAGTGTTTACAGCAAAAAGCCTGACAGTAATGATTCTAGTCACCAGAACAAATTCAATAAGCTGTAGTTGTCCCGGTGACTATGGTGTCTCTTTAAAGTAAAGCAAACTAGCATTCCAGAGGGTTGGTGTTACACAAGAGCAGCCCTGCAGTCTAGCATGAGAAGATGTGCTTATAGAAGATTCAAGCAGCAGGTCATTGCTAGATCTTAGAGGGCAGGATGGAGTATATTTATTCATAAGTGAGAACATGTGGTGGGGAGTGGGGTTAGTAAATACTTTGTAGGTCAGGGTGCGTATTTGTAAGTTTAATTCTGCTGTTAATTGGAAGCCAATAAATGGACTTGCAAAGAGATGCAGCAGACAGACACATAGTATTGGGTAAGGTGGATTAATATGGCAGAGGCATTTTGCATGGACTCAAGGTAGGAGAGACGGCAGAGAGAAAGGAAATTTAATAGTTTATTGCAGTAGTAAAGACGAGAAATGACAAGGAAGTGGGTGAGTTGCTTAGTTTTGTGAATGTTTAGAAATGGCCAGATATTGGAAATGTTGCATAAGGGCTTGCTGCAGCTAGAATAAAACAGTTGGATGTGGGCATGAAAGACAGGTTGGAGTCAATTGTAACTTTGAGACAGTGGACTTTTGGTGATGCGGAGACAGTGATAGAGAAGTCAGAAATTAGAGTAGAGCTAATGGGGGGCGGGAGACGGGAGAAAGAGCTCAGTCTTGTACATATTAATCTTCAGGTGGCATGAACACTTGCACAAGAAATAAAGCTGGCATAAAATACTTTATGGCCCAATCCCATTCTCAAGTCCTTCAGAAAATGAAATGTAACTGTTTATATATGATAAAACTAGAGGAAAGCTGCCAGGGCTTCCAACCATTTTCAGCTTGATCATCCTTCATTTCCTATGGTTCTGGTATGCTGAAGTTGCTCTATTAATGATGATGATAGATTTAACAGTAAACAACAGTATTCAAAATAGTGTTTAAAAATGTATATCAGGTGTTTTGTTTTTGCTTGATGCATGATACCCTGATGTCATCAGAAAGTACATTCAGCATTCAGTTATCATGAATATTGACATATGTTTCTATTTCCCAGGTATCTGTTTGCAACAATTAAACATACCAATTGAGGTTCGGAACTTTTATTCACCAAAAAATGTCTCTGGAGTTATTCTATGTGTGTCCAACTGCAGTACCAACAGTGACTCTTTTATAAACTGTAACAAGGGACAATGTTCGGTCACCCACCAAGGACCAAAATGCTAGTAAGTAAAATCCACACACAATATATCTTCTGAATATTACATACCATCTCCAACAATTTATCTGTTCTGTTAATCTTTTTTTTTTATTGATATTTTAAAACCTGTAAAATGATGCTGAAAACACTAATCTTTAACTCACTAATATAAATACCAAATAAAGACAAAGTACTTTAGTGGTAGCTAAAAAAAAAACTTAAGTAAAATGACTGCAAGTACTATAGTCCATGGCAACCCATTCAGGTTCTTATACAAAAGCTCACTATCTGAAAATAGTGATGGCATTACATGGGCATACTGGTGGATACCAAGTGCAGTCCTTCCATATCTTATAGTTATATTATCATGTGGGGAAGGACTTGACTCTGGTTGGGAAGACAATGGTTGAGTAATGCATGGGCATAAAGGATGGGAGTAAACATGATTTTTTGAATTCATTGATTGTCAAAGAACCGTGATTCGGTAGCAAATGCTGCTGTCTTTATGAAAAATCCTGATCTTACAGTTATAGTGACACAGAGAGAGTTGCCACTTAAAGTTTTGAACACTACTACTTCACTTATTATAAGTACAAAAATACAGCAAACCTAATAGTGTGAACTCTAGAATATCTGTGAATTAGTTACTTGATGGATAAATTGGTCTGAAAGAACTCTCAATTCTCCTTCTTCATATACGTCTATTTTTTAGTTAGATTGTTTAGGCCTTATGTTTCTCACTTCACTTTCTATTTGTTTGGAAAATAGAGGAAAAACTACACTCCTCACAAATCACAATCTAGAGTGCTCAAATCTGACATGAGGCTGGCAATACAGCAACATACAAGACAACCAACAAAAGAACATCCAGACATAAGGTTGAATTACTGGCTGAATTCACTAAAGTTCAAAGTATAATAGCAACATTTTGACCTCTAGATGAGGTCTTTATCAAGTATGATAAATACTTAATCTGGAGGTCGAAACGTTGCTGCGATACTTTGTTCTTCATTAAATCTGCCAGTTTTTCAACCTTGAGTGTTTGGATGATCTTTGCTGGTTCTCACTTCAGTCTCAACCTGATGTCCCACACTTTTTATGCTCTTTCACCAAAGATCATTATCTCAGATGTTCCCTTTGCTCTATTTGTAGTTGTGTATCATCGGACCAGTTCTGGTATTCAGGAGACAGATGCCAAGTATCTATCAGTAAACCTGGTGTGTACGGTGGAGTGGCTGCTGGTCTGGCCGTACTTCTCATTATTATTTTGACTCTGGCTATAATTCTGTGCAGACGGAGACGTCAAGCTTCAGAGAAGTGAGTACACTTTTTAATCATGTTTAAGAATTGAGGTAAAAAGGATTAAATTCTTTCCCCATTGCAACATTTAGAAAGTTGGTTAAATGTACACATTGCTCAAAACATAAGTTAGTAATAAGAGTGTGTGACAAAATGCCAACTAAACATCATCGGTGATATAAGTCTATCAGCAGGGACTATTACAGAGAAATTGGGTCAAGCCAGTAGGCTACCCCAGCTAGGTTCACCATTTGGTGATTTGTCCTTAAAGATGTGATGAAATACCTAAATAAATAATAAATACTACAAAGCTGAGATAACAGGTATTAACACCTTAAAGACCAAACTTCTGGAATAAAAGGGAATCATGACATGTCACACACGTCATGTGTCCTTAAGTGGTTAAACAACATAATATTAATAATAAAGTAAAATATTCATACAAGGGTTTGTGAAGACAAATACAATCGTGAATATGTCTTTTACCTGTATAAGCCACAATATGCACATTAACGAGTCTTGTTTTTCAGTTAACACACATAACTGTTGTAATCAACAGATAGCACAGTACATCGCTGCTGCAGACTAATTTACATCCAGCAGGTGGCATTGCACAGGCCCCACAGCCAGACAGAAGATTATACAAGACATTTCTCAAATAATATTCCAATGCACACCCTGTACCTATAATTGGAACATATATAAACATGAGTCATCCTGGGAACTGAATGCACTGATGGCAACTGTATGCACAGTAACATTAGTATTAAATCACAGTATGGTGCTTTATTACTCTAAAATTGTCAACCTAGCAGGAAATTGGATTCCTTTTTTTCTATTGCAATGTGTCCTTAATTCAAACTAAAAATAGACTAATAAATATAGTATAAATAGTATATACAAACAGTGATGATTTGGAAACAAATATCCAACTTGATTATTTTAGCCTATTTTTGTAATTTGCTTTTTGATTCTCTACAATTCTGTGTTTAATGAATAAATCCCTATGAGTTTTAGGGATCAGACTCTTACTGCACTTGAAAAGGTTTTGATCATAATAAATGTTGTAGATCATTATAATATTATAGCTTTTTCGCTGTTGAGGTTGTTGTTAAACAAACTGCATTTATTAAATAAGCTGTTAGTTTTCTGAGGAGTCTTGTGGGTGATGCATTATTGCATGAAGAATATTGCGTGTATTTGTCATTAATTTAAAAGGATATTACCTGAATATTTTCCTTTTAAATGTTCTCATTTTTAGAGATTATATGTGTTTTTGTAGGGCACAGGTTCTACCACCTCTTACTCACTAATATCTTATGGGGATGTTTAGCCCCCTCAGTCAGCCTCTTTCATTTGTAGGCACTGTTCTGTGAGCTTGCTCTGTACCAGGCAGGTAACTCTACTGTGTGTGCATGCACAACTCATGCAAGTTAAGGAGACCACTTTGAATTATGCTAACAGGCTCTAATGTTTTATTGTACAAAAGTTCTGATAGAATTAGAGGAACCAGATTTGTTTTCATCATACACTAGGAGAGTAAATAAAAAGTAAAACTAAATTATGTGTCCCATGAAATTATACTTAGCAGCTTTTGGTTCATTGCCTAAACAAGGGTTAATTTTTTTTTAAAAAGGTTGCTGGTCAATGTTTTGTCAGTAAGTATTTAAACACCAATACAAAATTCTATTGACTTAACTACTCTTTTCTCCTTTCCAGACTGATAGACAAAGAGAATCGCTGGTATGAAGATGGCTGGGAAGCAGATGGTAGAGGTGAAAGTAAGTGTTGCAGATGATCATGTTTGTAGACCCTATGAGACTTTTGTGGAATATATATCCGTTAATTTATACCAGACTCCTTCCTCTGAATATCATTCCCCTGGCCTACAATCTGTGTGCTAAGCATGACTTTCAGAGTCATATCAATTGTCTTCCTATGAAGAAACATCAAGTTTTTAGTCGTTGCAACACAGAACATCACATTCTACTCTTTCCTGCACAACATTTCTCCTTTCACCATTTATTATAATATAGAGCGAGGCTATTTTAACTTTTTTTCCGAGACATGCAGTTCATCACATTATTAACCTGTTACATTGGCATGACCAAAAAAGCTATGTATTAACTATTAACCTGCATCTTCTCTTCTATAGGATCTGTGGACACTGAGAGTGGTGCAAGTAATTTCTATCCGGTCCTTGAGAATGTGAATACAGATGTCAAGGTGAGAAATGGGCACAGGCGTATACTAAATATCTGAATGCTGCATGGCTTGTTTGGCGATACAAAAAATAATTATAGTAATTAATACCATTTAAATTATTCTAGATGTTGTGATTATCAAATTGTAGAACTCTTGTCATTTATCCAAGCCTTTTGGAATATTAGTTCTACTGTATTAAACATCTCTCATTTTGTCTAATTTGTCTCCTCCAGATGACTGTTCCCCGACCAAGCCCCTATTTTGGGCCACGATCTGTACCAACAGCTATGTGGGAATCATCCACCTGAACACATCAATGAATATCGAAATCTTTTATAGGTGGAGGCTGTCAACAGGCATCTTACATTTCAAATGGCATATACTTTGTATATCCTTATATATTAAACAGATCCCAACAGAGGGGATAGTTGATAATAAAATCAAAGAAACTGAACCACTGACACAGGACAGTTTTAGAATCTACATGTTTGTACTTAATATACTTCTATATATAGACAGATTGACCACCTCAGCATTATTTTGAAATAAAAAGTAATATGTGGGTGGTGGTATGGAGGTTGCATAGAAAGAGAATGTATAAGGAAGTGCAGGAGTTTTCTAGAGAAATGGTTATGAACCAGACAAGAAAGTTGAGGAATACATCTGGACAATTTAACTAGCCTAGTCATTTCCAGGATTGTCAAACTGTTTTATTTCTAAAGTTTTACATAGGTGGAAAATACATGCAACATCAGGTATAAAGGTATAAAGACGGAAACATTTTGTATAATCTACTGCGAAGAAAGCATTTGTATAGTCTAAATGCACTTTAAAAACATGACTAGAAAAATATATTTTTATGTAAAAAAAAAAAGTATTAAATATATATTTATAAACTGAAAAATAATCTGATAATTTAGAATAACTTTGTTCTCCACTGCGACATATGTTATACATTCCACATTTTCACGTACACATGATTTACATTTATTTATATTTAATATGTATTTATTTAAGCAGAAATATTTAAAATTAGGAATGTATTGTATTTATTCTTTTGTATATTCAATATTTAATTTTATCAAATAAATCTTTCTAATATTGTATTTTGATAGTACTTCCCATTTATAGCTCATATTAAAAATGTCATCCATTTACAATGTAGATTTCCTCCACCTTCTTTTTGTGTTCTTAATCTCCTCTCCATTCTGATTTTTTTGTTTCTCATCTTTATAAGATACCTTTTTTTTTCTGGCACCTCAATTTTGGAGGTATGGTTCTGTAACAGGGCTTATTTCAATCTCTCTATATAAGTAAACATCTACCAGAAGGCAACTTAAATTATATATACAATACTAGTTTGCTTTCGTCCCTTTAGTGTTGCTGTCATCTATTATATATATTTTTGTATTTTTACTCTAGATTTAGGGCTAACTTATTATACATACCCATGTTGATCACAGAGAACTGTATTGGAAACTGTATTGTTCTGATTCCAATATTACTCCAATAAGGCCTAATAGGCTAAGTGGAGGGGGAATCTGGTAGGCTATACCACTGATGGGGGAGAGGTAGGAGCACAAAAAAATACTATTATACAGAGACCAAGGAGAATTTGGGTACACTTTTTCAAATTATCACAATCTGGTAGAAAAACTTGCCAAGTGATTTATCTACAAACATTCCCACATAAGTTAGTGAGGACTTCTGTAGATAAATCATTTGAAAGGTGTTTTCTGGAAGACTGTGATCATTTAAAAGAGCTTATTCATAAATATATATTTTTTTATAGAAGCAGCAGATAAGAAACAAAATTACATCTTTATGTTTCAAAACACACAAGTTTCATAGAAACAGTTTGGGTTGATCGCTACACTTTGGACATTAGGTGTTTCTTGAGGGAGTGGGTAGGGAAGTGCTGATATAGATAGCACATTAAAAAATATGCAGAGGTAGGTAAAAAAACAAATAAATGACATGGACGGATCCAGAACCTAATCTTGGGAGTGGGTTGTAGTGGGTGATAGGAGATGTAATTGAGTCAGGGGCTGTAGTAGAGGACTAGGGGCTGTAGTGGAGGGTATGGGCTGTTATTTGAGGGTTACTAAATGTGGTGGGGGATAGGGACTGAAGTAGGTGGATAACTGCAATTGGGTAATGGGGCAGTAGTGGGGAAGATATGGGACTATAGTGGGGGACAAGGACTATAGTAAGGGAATAGGGTCTGTAGTAGAGGTGTCGGTTGTAAAGGGAGTGTTAGGGGCTGTTGTAGGGGATATGGGGCTGCAAGTGGGGGAAAGAGGCTACAAGTGGGGATAGGAGCTGTAGTGGGAGGCATAGGGGCTGTATTATGGGTATAGGAGCTTAGTGGGGACATAAGGGCTAACATTTGGATGCTAAGGGCTGTAGTGGGAATGTAGGGGCTGCATTTAGAGGATAGGGGTTACATTTGTAGGATATGGTTGGCATTGGGAAGTTGTGTGGGTTAAGGGCTACAAATGGGGGATAGAGGCTACAAGTGGGGGTAGGGACTGCAGGGGGGTAAGAGTCTGTAGTAGGGGGGAGACTATATTAGAGATAGGAGCTGCAGAGGGAGGTAAGGGCTGATATTTGATTTTATGGGCTTTAGTAGGGGGTTAGGACTGTAGTGGTGTATATAGGCTGCAATTGGGGGTAAGGGAGTAATTTGCTGTAGTCAAAATGCAGTCTCAGCAAGGTAGGTAAGATGTCACACGCAATCTGTCCTAGTCATTCTACAATCTCCAGGCAGGGTAAGGTGTGGCTGCACTGTCCACTCCACTCACTTCTACCCCTCCCTTCCATCCATATCTCATGTTACCCCCCTTCCATTCATGTCTCTGTTCCATCCATCCATGTCTCTCCCTTCCCTTCCATCCATGTCTCCACCTTTCATCCCTGCTTCTCCCATAGCTCTCTCAGTTCCAAAACCATCTAACAAGGCGCTTTTTGGAAGCGGGAAAGAAGAGGGGTTGAGGCATCCAATGGTATCCTGGACTTGGAGTAACTGCCAGAGATTATACCCTTTGTAAAGCGCTGCGGAATTTGACGGCGCTCTATAAATATCATAATAATAATAATAATAATAATAGAAAGGGCTTCTGTTTTGGGTGACCGGGTCTTTCCACCCAGTGCTATGGAACTCTGCGCCGGATCGGAGGCTACCTGATCTGGGCTTTTTTGATAGATTGGGTGTTCAGACACAAGCTTCTGGGGACACCAGTTGTGTGGGAATGTGGGAATAGAAATCCAAGCAGTGTTGTATTTTGTGACCCTGGTGCCTGGGTGTCTGGCCACTAATGAAATGATCTGCTCAGCAACAGACCCTGAGGTGCCGAGGATATCGCAATTCTATTGTTCACTCTTGGAACCTCCGGATGAGACCCCAGGTATAAAAGAAGACGTGACAATAAAGAAGTTCTACTCAGACTGGTCTAATGTATGGGGGGGGGAGCGGCTATATTTGTACAGCTATAATCACTGAAGCTACTCTGGAGAGCTATAAACACTGAGGGAAAGAGAATCCTTGGCAATGATACCCTAGTGGACCACTTCATTAACCAAAATATTTGAAATTATTAGGCTTGTGAAATCGACTTCAAATGAATTACCCACAGATTACCCCTGCCCCTCCATGAAGCCCCCCTCCATCATGCTCTTCTCCCCTCCCCATGCCCATCCATGATGCCCCCCTCCATCATGCTCTCTCTCTCCCCTCCCCGGCCCCTCCAGGATTCCCCCCTCCATCATGCTCTCTCTCCTTATCCCCTCCCCTGCCCCTACAGAATGCCCCCCCTCCATCATGCTCTCTACTCCTCCCCTCCTCTGCCCCTCCTTGATTCTTTTCCCGCTCCCTTCCTTACCTGCTTGGCATGTGTGGTTCCTGGTCTGCCAAGAAGTGCTCTCTCATTGAGCATTTCCTGTCAGACTGTGCACTGTAATGGATCATCTAGCTCCCCGACTGGGTACCTCCGTTGAAGGATGCTCCTAGCACTTACAGAGGGCTCCAAGTGCTCCGCAGACACCACCGCAGACCCCACAAACCGCCGCAGCTTGGTTGGGGTCTCGTTGTCTCCTACCCACCCTGGACCTACGACAAGGCTCCAGGTTCCAGTGGGTGAACCTCTCCTCCAAGAGAGTGAAGCAGGAACAAGCTCTTAAAAGAGCTTAGTAGTGATTAGCTAAGGGAGTATGCAGAGCATAGCAATCCCTTGTAGTGATATAGCAATTCCCCCAATAAGAGACAGGACTCTAGATTGAGGGTGAAGAAGAACTGTCTGTACTGGCACATATAGCCTTTTTTTATTCACATTCTACAAACATAGTACTGCCCACAGGGTTTTGAAGAACAACCAATCAACACATTACAACACAGCTAACACTCCCATTCATTACATCAGAAATCCTCCCCTCTGCCTGTGATACAATTATCTCGAAACAATAGACTAACTTAATTATCAGAGGCAGGAACATACAGTATTATAAAACATATCACAGGGACCCCAAAACATGCAATAACCCCATAATAATATATAATATAATACATAACATATCATTGGAACCGGGGGCTCTGGGTGAACCACATATCCAAAATTCACCCACATCCGTTCAGTAGTTTGGAAGATACGGTTTAATGCAGATTCTGCAGAACATATACAGGCTATATGAAAAAAATTACTCTTAAATGTGTCCCCTGTTTTGTAGTTTAAAACTACTGAGCGATGTCTTTGTGCACCAAATACTGGCGAGATGGCACCGTGTAGAAAAGTCAAAACAGTGTCAGAGTTAAAATGGCCGCCATCCATTGTTGTCACCATGTGCTTCATCCATTGGTCACCCAGTAACTCCACAGTATGTCCCCAGATGGTTCTTAAAGGGCCAGCAGCAGCATCATAAAATACAGTATGCCAAAATCAGTTCCTTAAAGGGCAATACATCCCAGGGCAATAGTCGCAGGGCAGGAGGCTGGCAAACAGGCCCCTCCAAAAACCAATGGCGAGGTCACTTTCGCCACATGCACCCGCTCAACCACACTACATACAGTGACCGGCTGGAGGGGAGCACTGTGTTGTGTGCTCCCCTTCTGCCAGTCTTTAGGTGACCCCGGGCCCCAGGCCGGTTGCGCTGTGCACCGGCCCAGAAGTTATGTGGGGGAGACACGGTGACAGGTGTCGATCGTCCGACAGGGCCCCCTGCAGTGGCGGGCCCATGTTGTAATTGCGACCCCTGAGACCATAGTGGCTGCGTCACTCCCCCTAACCCCTTACTACACCCAGCCACTCATACCCAT